GAATCACTAATCATAAATTTAACTAATAACGATTTTGATATGAAATGTTATTATGAAGGATGTGAAGATCTATATTAATGATTTGTTATCCAACACCTATATTTCTTAATAGAATTCTTTTTGTTAATTAAGAAATTTTCTTCTTTCCAATCAAATCCGATAATGATGTTTTTGATATTCTCATTGTTAAGAATTTCATTGAGAAAATTTTCTGTAAAAACGAAATTTCTAAGATTACATGAGATAACTTTTAAATACACTAAAGTTTTTGAATCTTTAAACTTTTCATAAATATTTTTAACATTGTCAATATTTGTTTCAATAAAGCTAAGACATTTTAATTTTTTCAACGATACGAAATAATCCAATATTTTTTCTTCTTTTTCGGTGAATTTAACATGTCTGAACCTGATATTTGTAATATTTTCTGAATTGATTTTTTTAAAAATTTGAAGATTCGTAGAGATACAAAATGAAGAACGATCCCATTTTCCATACCCAAGGGCGATTCCATACATGTTATTGAATTTAAGTAAATCACTAGGACGGGTAGTGTCCAGATAAATATATCGATTATGTTTTGAATTGTATTTAACTATAAGATTGGTGATATCGGATTTATATTTGTTTGAAAGTTGAAAGTAAGTGATTTTTTTCGAATAATTGAATATTAATTCGAGAACAGTTTTTGTGACTTGGGTTTTCCAATCTATATAAAGATCGAATTCAAAATCATCAATTCCATGTGTAACGATATTAAAAATATTATCAACACGAATTTGTCTGATGAAGGATAAATAATCGAAAAGAGGTTTTTCTATATCATCAAAGTGAGAAGAATAAAATTTAAACAAGATATTTTTTTTATCAGATAAATAATAATAAATTATTTTTTGTAAGCTCATATAGTTTCTCCCTACACATGAATAAAAAGGATCTTCCCATAAATAAGGAAGTGAAGCTACGGCAAATAATTTTGAAACCAAAACATAGTTTAAAAAATTTTCACGATCGATATAAATCAAAAATGAAAAGATTATTGAAAGAATTTCAAAAGATAACGAATTCATTTTATTTTGGTA